GGAGGGTGGGAGGAGGTGGGGGGGAGGGGAGGGCTGGCTCCCACCAGGCGTGCGCCCAGGGCCTGTGGTCCCCCACATCCCCGGAGACCCTCGTCATTTCGAGAAGAATCTAGAAATCACCCTCTGGTATTTATCCTATTACTCTGGAAACAGGCGTTTATGTGTCTGAATCCTCAAAGATTATGATTTCCTGAAGAACAGGAGGTCTTACTCATGTTTCTGTCAAGCCTAAAATAGACAGTAGATGCTCCCCAAACTAGGTCTTCAAAGAGACTTCGAGTTCTTTGCATATAAGTTGCGCCCACCGCTTGCTCCCTTCGTTCTGGGGAGGATGGGAACCGGGGTAGGGCCGAGGGACCCGAGCCCCCCACCGGCACCCAGGGAAGTCGGGCCAGGACAGAGACGGAGGGCAGAGACGCTGCCGACGCCCAGCTGGCTGCTTACTCAACACACATTTGGCACTGAGGGGTGTTTTGGTACTACATCTTGGAGAAAAATATGTCTTAACGATTCCCTAGAGAGGTTTATGACTCACATAAATTGCAAAGTCTGTGTCTCCACACTCAGCTCACAGCTGCACCTGTTACATGAGTATAGTTCTGCTGTTTTACTCTTTATTCCCTCAAAATATCTGAACGGTCATACACTACACAATTTTCCACCTGATACTTTGAATTTTACCCCCACACATAGAGCATCACTATGGAGGATACAGGTATCCTCTCTTACCATAAATACTCAAATTATCCATCTGAGGTTAACAGAAGATAAGGAACTTCTGTAATTCTTGGATGTTTTGGTACACATAGAAACCAATTCTGTATTTTCCCACTTTGAAGAGAGCGGGAGAGAGAATTCTGAAAAGAGGAAAGGAGAGAGAATCCCAGTGTGACAATGTAGAGCCCCTGAGTTCCCCCACAGCCCCAGGAAGCATGGATATGGCTGCAGGGACGCTGCCCGAGGCCTCCCGTGTGTGGGCCGGGGAGGCACCTGTCACCTTGCTTTAAGCCCAGAGGAGAAGACAAGCCACAGCGTCTGACCTGGGCCCTGATCCCATTACCCAAAAAGCCATCAGCCACCATCAGCTACACCAGGGGATCAGAGATTCTAGGATTAGAAAGCACAGCAGCGTGAATAGCTTTGGCTTGAAATTCCCTTATTTGTTGGCTCTGCATCATCCTGAGCGAATCACGGCATTTTCGGTGCCTCAATTTCACCACTTGAGAAACCGAGGGAAAGTAAGGGACCTCCCTCCCACCTCTCTGCGGCTCAGCAAGGACGGAAGGTGATAGAAATCAGATTCGCGTTAAGAGGCGGCGTTCTTATTCCAGCGAGTCACTGGGCTTCCTCTCTGGTGGGACTGGTGTGCCATCCTTCCCTGGGGGCTCAAACACAGGAGGCCCTAGAGGACACCCCACACTTGATCTTAGGGCTTTTTCCAAGCCCTGCTCTGGGCTGAAGTGCAGCTTTAACGAGGTGTTTGCTTCGCGATTTAGCAGCCACCCGGCCACGGGTATTGCTGGCTGTGATGGATGGGTCAGCACCCTCGGCCCCGGGGCAAGCAGCGTCTTATGTGACCGGCCACCACCTCCGCTGCTGGCCTGTCCCCCGCGGCCACCTGCTCGTTCACACCGGCTCCAGCCCGGACACAGACCGTGCGGGTAATTTGCTCTGCTCGCCCAAACACGGGCCCGCGTCGCCCCCGGGCGGGGTGTTCTAAGACACGGGACAGGGTCCCCGGGGGGCGCGCAGGGCCAGCACAGTCGAGGCAGTCCTTGTATCGTCAGAGGGAAAGCCCCCCGGAAACGGGCCGGCTGCTGGCTTTGTCACAGAAGCTGAAAGACGAGCGTCTCGGCCGCGGAACCAGCCAAGGCCGTCCTCCCGCGGCCAGCGGCGACGGGCGCGAAGGCCCGGTGGTGACAGGCCGACCCGCCGCGGGGCTGGGCGCGTGGGAAGAGCCGGACCTCTGGTCTCGCGTGGATGCTCGCAGAGAGCTACTGCCGACTCAGTGGCGTGCTGCAGCAATTTCCCCGACGAGAGGGCCCATCTTCCTCCACTTCTGCCCCAGTCAGCGCGAGTGCGGGGTGCTGCTGAGCCCGCCGTGACCAAACACAGACGGGCTTTCACGGGCTCAGCCCACGACCCTTCCTCCAAACACATTCTGGTTACAGCGCCTTCTCCAGAGTCTCCCTAAGGACTGAACGCAAGCCTGTGTTTTGCTGGACAGAAAAACGGAAAGCAGTAGGAACGTAAACGGGCTGACAGGGCGGAGGTGACGTGGCTGACGCCAGCTTCAGGAGACGTGACGAGCACCCGACAGGCAGGCAGAGAATGAGCAGGGCTCGGAAGACCGACCATCTCTGTTCCAAACTGCTAACTCTCGCTTTAAACTGTAATTGCTTTGCTCTTAATTGCTTTATTAGTTCTGAGGCTTCATTATTCTTCTTGTCTCATTTCTATTCAAACCAGTTTGGATTGTTTCTTCTTTTTTTAAAGGAACAATGGAACCCTGTCTAGATCCCCAGGGCGAGACAGGTAAGAGAAGATACGCTGGAACCTACAGGTGATCAGGGTGGCTCAGCCCCGACCCCGGTGACATCCCACTCTGACCATGACTTTAGCCCAAAGGGTTCTGATAACACTTTTGGGTTGTTCTCTCCTTCAAGCATGAAGGGTCCTCCATGCTCCCCCAAATCTCTTCCCTGGCCTTGCCCCCAAGCAGAGAAATCAAGGGGACCAAGCTGTATCTGCTTGGAAGTCAGGCTGCTGGTCATTAAAGGAGGTCACGCTGACAGAACATCCTGCCCCAAATAACCGCCATTGGTCCACCTGACCCCTGAGGAGAGGCCAGGGGCCTGGCAGTGGGGACTGTATCTTCAAACATCCTCAGACGGGCCGCAGTTGTCTTCTCTGCCCTGGTACCCCCCTCTGCCCCCGACAGAGCTCTCCACCAAGAGGTAGCTGACCTCAGCAGATGCCACCCCCCCACACACACTGTTCTGCCTACAGATGCCAGAATCTCTGCTATCAAAACCCGGAGTAGAAGCTCAGGGGGGACAGGGAAACACCCCAGTCATCTTGAGGAAATAAAGTAAAACCATGCCAATGTGGAGAATAACTTATCTGGACCTTGTTTCTGAAGTCGACAAGAAAGTGGTCTTTATTAATAACATAACCCTGATATCTAAGCACTTTAAAAATGCATACACCGAATTCCAGTATTTTTCACAGGTTGTTCTGTGAAATTAGGAACTTGTCTAAAACACCTGTGTCTGTGATCCAGAGACAGAAGGTTAAGGGTTGTGTGGGTACGCGAAGTCTGGGGCTGAGCGGTGCTTAGAGGCCTGGCTTCCGCATCCTGGAAGGGGCCCTCTCCTTCCTGCCTCCCCACACCACACCACACACCACTGCCCCCAGGGACCAATGACAGGGCTCCTGTGGGGAGCCCCAAGGGGCTTCCCAGACACCTAGGCTCAGTCACCCGTGGACTAATCCTGCAGTGTGCGCCCAAGCGAAGCATGTGATTCTGCAGTCAACCGTGTACTCTGGTAGGGTCCTAAATCCTCACCTCCCACCCAGCTTTGCAACACATAACCTGCAAAAGGAGACAGGGAACAGGAGTGCAAATCTCACAAAGCAGGCGCCTCCCACACATTCACGGGTCAACTCTCTGCTCCCGGATTTCCCTTCCAGGACTGTGAGTCCCTCCCAATAACCCCTGAAAGACACAGCTGAAGAAACATTTCCTGACGCGATCAGCTGAGGGTTTTTTCTTTTGCACGGGCACCCCGGGTAGGGGGCAGCCTTTCCCTCTGCAATGGTGAGGAGAGGCACGTGGCACTCACACCCACTTCCTCTCTCAATTGCAATCTTTATTCTAGACGTTCTTCCATGGACAGAGCCATGATGTGAAATACAACTGGACGAGAACCACACATTGAGATATTTATACATAAGATGTCCCAAGTGTGTTCTATGCTTTAAAATGTATCCTTATGAAATGCCACACACAGTCACCGAATCAGAGTGACCACAAGGCCACAACGGCTCCTGAGTCCCCTCCCGCGTCCCCTCCCACATGCCTCCAGGATGCACCCACTTTCCTTGTCATCTTTCCATGTTGGGCACCATGTTCTGCCCACCGGGCGTCAATAAATATTCTTGATTGAATGAATGAACTGTTGTTGATTTGAATGATTTTTTTTTCCTAAATAGGGTTTTTCATCATCATACACGTCAGACTGGCCAACGGTGTGAAACTTTTCTGCTCTGACTTCCCTCCCGTGTCTGAGCCATAAATCCTTCAGTTACAGGAGACCCCGCAGTTCCACTCTGAAGGCCCAAAAGGACGCACAAGGAAGCGCTTGCTTCCCACCAACCCTCAGACAGTTGTGAAAACATCCATCTGCTGTGGCTGGACCTGCATGTTGCTTCTTCCAGCATCGTCTATCAGAAACCTCAGGAAGCAGCCCGTTATGTCTCAGGGGCCCCGCAAACACCACGAACCTGTCACATAGCAACACTGCGTCCTGCAAAATACTCCTAAAACTTGTTTGGAAATTCTTCCTTCGTTTATTAAGAGTCAAAGTTAAATTGATATTCTACCATCGGGAAATAGTAATAATTTGCTGTGTCTCACCTCCCATTATCAAAAATAACTTTAAAGAGGTCGAATAATTTTACTGCAACAAATCAGCACCTGCATTTCCACCCAAAATGTTAAGGATAAGACACCCTGAGACTAGGAGATCTTAGGAAATAAATATTGTGAATGAATTAAAAGATTCTCGCTTAGTCTGTTAGGGGCGCCTGGGTGGCTCAGTCTGTTAAGCGTCTGCCTTTGGCTCAGGTCATGATCTCCGGGTCCTGGGATGGAGCCTGTGTTTAGTGGGGAGTCGGCTTCTCCCTCTGCCCCTCCTCCTGTCCGTGCTCATGCACTCCCTCCCTCTCTCAAATAAATAATCTGTTTTTAAAAAAAGACTCTCGAAGTGGGGGAAATCGGAGGGGGAGACGAACCATGAGAGATGATGGACTCTGAGAAACAAACTGAAGGTTCTAGAGGGGAGGGGGATGGGGGGATGGGTTGGCCTGGTGATGGGTATTAAGGAGGGCACGTTCTGCATGGAGCACTGGGTGTTATATGCAAACAATGAATCAAGGAACACTGCATCAGAAACTAATGATGTAATGTATGGTGAGTAACATAACATGATAATAAAAAATAAAATTAAAAAATTAAAAAAGATTCTGTTAATTGCATAAGCACTTTTGAGCACACCCTGTCGCACAGGCATGGCACTCGGGATGGCCCTACCAGGGGAAGACTCGGCACCAGCTGTGTGAGCTCCGCGCTGCAGAGCTTCCTGAACCGAGCTAACATACCACAGCAATCTGCCTGCAAGGAACACACCGCGGGTTTTTGGTGATCAAAATTCCCATAAATGCCTAGCAAAGTGTAAATAAAGGTGGCAGTCAGGCGTGGCTTGGTTTCTCTGAGACCCTGGGCATTGGACCTTGTTAGTCTGCAAGGAGGGCCTCCTCCCTTATCCACTGGCCCTCCTGGGGAACGTCCAGTTGTCCTGTCCTCTCAGGGAAGTAAGTCTCCGGCTCATAAGGCCATTTGGCCTTTCACCTCCGTGAAATTGGCAAAAACAGGGCTACACCTACTCTCCCAGGGAAGGCAAGCACTCCCCAGGCCAAACGTTTTTTTCAAGAACGCTGGAAGCTCCTTGCAAAGCCAGGAGCCGAGCCGGGCTGCTTGCAGAGCAGAGCTGGAAGGCTGCCGGCTAAAGATGAGGCCGCTCTGTGCCCTTTCTCTTTGTTTAACCAACATATCGTGTCATGTGATCATAAGATCTGGTGGCACGGGGCTGAAAATGCAGATTGGCGGGCATGCATTTTGACAGACGTGAAAGGCGGTTTTTAGCACCCGAACAGACCATTTTGTAAAGCCAGCAATGTTCACTGATCCACCCCTCCCAGCTACCAGACCTTCCCAGCTGTTTTATAAAAAGCAACAGAATTGCACATCTTACAACTTTTATGCTTCCAAGTGGTGCATCACTGAACAACTCAGGAAATGAAAGCTGCTTAATTGCCTTGTCAACCTTCCCCGGCTACAGCGGCCACGGAGGGCACTTCTTCACAAGCGGTCAACGTGCGGCTGCTTCAACAGAATCCCTTTCCTTTCGCTGTGATTCCCCTTTGGAATGTAGCGCTTTCCTGTCCCAGGCCCCTCAGAGCGTGCTTGCTGGCCCCACAACGTCCCCCACGACCTCGGGGGTGGTCTGGAGCTTTCCGCTCCCTTGAGGGCGAACCCCGTTTCCTGCCGCCCGGGTCAGGCACGTGCCCCACACAGCGTGGAACCCAGGCTGACATTGCCAGCGACAGCTAATGCCCTTGGCTCTTTCCCACTCCACGCCCCTGCGGGGTGTCCGCTCCCCAACCCCCGTCTCCCCTCCCAGCCTCCCCTCCTGACCTGCTCCCCACAGAGGGGCCCTTCCCTACTCTGCTCGTGGGGCTCAGAGAGCACAGCCTCACATGTGTTCAGAGGCCTTCCGGCAGGTGAAATTATCTATCACTTCGGTGCCCCGGCTGGTTACTCCACACGCCTGTCTTTATTGGTGATAATATGCCATCTCCCTCGGAAAAGCCCATGCCCCAAAACTATGCCTTTTACCTTGGTTTGTGATTTTTCTTCCTGTTTCATGTATCCCTTTTGAGGGAAATGTATTGACTGTCATATACACAGCATACATGTGTGCATGTATGTGTCTGTGTAGGTGGATGTTTACACACATATATTTCACTAAAATAACCGCTCACGGGCTGTTAATTTCAAACTGCCATTCCTCCCTCCACCCCACCTTCCTCCCCAAAGAATCAGGCTATAATAAAACACGTATAATTACTTCTTCCACGGTATCTTTGATGGTGGGCTCCGAGTCCAGGTCAAGATCCTCCTCGGCGGTCTGACAACAAAGATACACATTGAATGGCGTTAGCATGGCAACACTCTTGTAAAGAGCATCACACCGGTAATCAATACGAGGGCGAACGAGCTATTCCCTATTAGCGCAGCAGAACAGGACAACTAAGCCAAGGCCCCTTCCCACCTGTGTCTACTTGAAACCTCGTGCAGCTCCAGGCAGGAAATGGATCTTTCCTGCCTGGAAGGAACGCACCGCAGGTTTCCTCCTGCCAGGAAATGTATTCAGCGTAACAGGCGGTGAATAAAGCACAGAGTGTTTACATCCACAATTGTAAATTACTCCATCAGCCAAGCGTGTATAACTCCGGCCACAAGTGAAAGCAGCAGGTGATTTACTGATTTACTTAACTCCCTGACCAGCAAGGCAGGGGCTGTGGATTCGAGTGGGGGTTCAACGACTAACAGACAGAAACAGAGAAGTGACAAATGGAAGGCGTTTGCAACCATTCTTGTTTGGACGGAATCTCTCAGCTGATGCTCAGAGAATGACTAAACTCGGACAGAGTCAAATTCCTGGCCCATAAACACATAAAGCAGAGTGTTTCTGTAGGGTAAGTCTTCACCAGGAGGGTCTGGGTCTGAGTCTTGCTTACTGCATCATGACTTAAAGCAAACTGCTTAACCTGGGCCTCAATTTCCCTATATACGTCTGGAACGTTAACAGCATCTACCTACTGAGGGATGTGGAGAGAGCTCGGGGAGCAGTGCCAGCCGGCTCACAGCATGGGCACCATTGCCCGCCACCGCCCCAAGCCGACTGGGTCCCTCACTTCCAGGCGGTCTGCTCACCTAGCGGCTCTAAGATAACCAGCGACGGACAAGCTAGGCCGTGAGATGTCGGGGAGTCCTATTTGATCTGCATTGTTTAAAGACAGGGGCTTTTCCTTTCTTTAATGCATGATGACATCCCAGAAAGGAAGGCCATGCTTATTCCTTTAAAAGAACATGAAAAGGGGATAAATGGGTCAGCGAGCCCCTGTGGGCAGCCTTCCACCACCACCTTACTCATCCTGTCTCCCATTTTCTCACCTTCCCGCCCCACCCCAGGCATGCCCTTGGCCGCGATAAAGCCTGCTGAAAGCCAGTAAAACATCATATGTATGCTGCTTTTTAAGGCCAGATTCTTCAGGGATTTTATGGAAGGCCCAGTTTTTAATTAGCATACGTTTCCTTGAAAATACATCTCACTAACTGGTCAAATATACCACCCGAAATATTTCAAAACAATTCATAAAACTGCAAATACTCTCCCTCGATAATCAAATGAGTTTCCCCCATCTACGTGCTGAGGCAAAGCTGGTCTATGTAAAGATAACGGTGTGTCCAGTACAGTGAGCCTCAAACCCAACCCAGGCCAGTTCAAGAAAACAAGGCAAGGGGAGAGCGACTCATAAGTTGGAGAAGAACTGGAATCCCAGAGTGTTGGTCGCTAGCACTGGGAAACCAGCCATTAGTCCTGTTAAATTTGTGCAAAAGCGAATCATAGAATCACTTGCGCCGTATAGCAGATTCTCTTACAGGAAGAGCACGTGAAACTTCTCATACAAGGATTTTGTGATATTTGGAGTGCAGAGGCCAAACGTATTCCATGTGTTTTGCCCAATGTCTTGACATGTGAGAGATTTTAGTAACATACAACATAAAACATGTGCAAACCTGGAAAGCAAAATGAGCCTGAGTTCCAGAGCACACAGATCTCCCATCTGTGTGGATTCAGAGGACTCCCCCGGACCCGAAGGACTTCGGGACCAAGGCTTCACATTTAACCTTTCCAGAAAAAGCTCTGATTTTCTGGGTTCCAAAGCAATGGGACTGGATGCTCTGTCTCCATAAAGCATACTGCAGAGGGTATGCAATCCTCAAACATCTACCCAGGAAGCTTGAAGAAAATATTTTTGGCTTTGAGACCATCTACTTTATCCAATTTTCGTGATTTGTTGTGGCATGTACATCAACCTCAAAAACTTTTAAAATTTGCCCTCTAAATGGGGTGGCAAGGCAGTGCTGTCCGTGACATATTTGAATAACATGAATATACTGACTGCTGGTCCATTTTCAGTCGATCTCAGAAATATTTCCGACACCAGCGGCTCCTTAGAGCTTCGGTCAGCAGCAGTGATGTGAAGTCTGGAGCCCCTTGAGAAATTATGCAAAGCCCCTTCGCTTTCCCACTTCTGTCCTCCTTTCTCTGCCCCGAAGCCAAATCCTCCCCCTCTTTGTGGGGCCCAGCTGTGCGGGGGCTGGGAGCTGGGTCTCCACCACAGACATAGTTCGGATTACTAAGAGGGCTTCAGAAAGCACCAGGAAGTCAGAGAACTCCTGGCTAATCGTTCTTAATTCAATTCATTCATTCACTTTCTTTAAAAACTCAAATCTCTCTCAAAAGAAAAAAAAAAAATGAGCCCTGAATTAGCAACCCTTGTAAGTGAGAGGCTCTTTCTAAGGCACTGTCTTGGACGCCAGGAACGACATCCTGGGCAAACAGAATAGTCAATGACATAAAAAGCGGGGGTGTCACCTCTCTAGACTTGGGTGCTAGTCATCAGCAGCAATGGTACATTCTTCCATCAAAAAATAGGCTTCGTAAAAAAAAAAAAAAATAGGCTTCATATCTATGCAGTGCTCTACCCCCTCTGTCGAACATCAGTGTATAGTACAAGCATTAAGTTAGTCTGGCTCCCCAAAAAAGCACTTTAAAACACTAAGTAAATTCTCTTCTAAAACAGAATCTCCCATTCAGTTTAAAATTGTTACGTGAATGTCTCAACATAGAGGTTGTACATATAAACATAAGTAACATTTAAAAGAATTGAATTTACAGACATGATGCTGGGATAGGAGATAAGACAAAAATTAAAGCTTGGACTTAGTAAACATTTAGCAAGTTATTAGAATTTGCCATTTGGGAAAGCAATCGGAGTTGCTAGAGACAGCACGGGTACGTCTAAGAATCCAGTAGATGGTCTAATAATGGACGAGGGACTGACCCTTCACGGACAAATGTGTTGATCATCTGTAATTCAAATTAAGGAAATCTAATTCTATGGACCAGACTTCCAGAGAGTTCCAGGTCCCTGGGGAAGCATGTAGTTAAAGAGTATCAGAGGGGACACCCACCAGCCAGCCCTGGGGAGGGGCCACCGACACTTTCATTTCATTATCTTTTCTCCTTATTTGTAACAACTCGTCTTTACTGAAAGGCACACACACTATTAACCCTGCATTATCTTCATGCCTTCTGTTTCTTAAGAACTCATCACTGTTTTGCCCCTGGTTTCATCCTCGACTGTAGCAAATGGAGTTCTTAAAATGTAAAGCCACTTGTTGAAGGAAAATCAAACGGATGCAGATTAGTTTGGAAGACCGTGAAGACTTCCAAGATACACACATTGCTCAGGAAGCATCCTGAAGTTTGGTTTAAGGGCAACAGTTTCTTCCTTCAAGGCACTGGCTTTCATTCATTTAATTTACACCCCACCCAACGCCCCGTGTGTGGGCACCTGTATACATAATGTTTACATGTATGCACACACGCGCATGCATCCATAGGACATGACATACACAGCCCTGCACACATTAAATATTCAAGTTTCTGTCACATAAAAGTCCCCAGTAAATACGAATCCATTCTATGAGACATTCCGCGAGCCACAGTTAGGCTCCTGCAGAATGCATTCTTCTCTCCTTGGTACTCACCTCTATTTCCATGGGCTCCACCTCGATCTTTTTCCATAGCTCCAGCAACTGTGCAATCGGCATTTTTTAAAACTTTCCTTTCCGTCTGACCAAGTGCTGGGAGAGAAGAAGCAGGCGCACCGAACAGTGCAGAGAGGGGGCAGACAGGGTGTCAGCGCCGGGGCAGGGGCAGGCAGCGCGAGGAGAGGGGCCCGGGGGTGGGGGGGGCCCCGGGGTCTGCAGTATGGCTGCGGGGCGAGTGGGCTGCGCGCCGAGCTGCTGCTCCCGCCGCCGCGCTGGGCCGACGAGCAGAGCCCAGACCCCACGGGCGAACCTGCACTTGCAGCCTCCGCGCGGCTTCCCGGCCTCGCCCCTCCCCCTTCCATTGCCACTCCCTCCTTCCCTCCCCCCACTATTTTACCTTAATTAGCTCTAAATGATGGGTGCAAGTTGGGTCTGAGGATGCTGCTGCCATAGAAACTGCATAGCAACCAAGGGCTGGGAAGAGGGGAAGCGAGGAGGGGGCCCTGCGGCAGACTCTGCCCTTCTCCCTCCGGGCGCGGCACACGCGCGCGCACACACACGCGCGCGCCCACACACACCCCTTCCCTCGCCAACCACTCCCTAAGCCCCACGAGACCCCCGTTAGCCCGACACGAGGGGATGAGGCAGGAAGCCAGGTGCAGGGGAGCGGCTTTTCCTGCTCGGATACTGAAGAAAATCCTGGTGTCGGAACTGCCGCGCACCGGGCAGCAGAAGCAGGGCCTCCCGCTTCCTCCCAGCCGCCCACCCCATCCCGAGCGCCGGGCCCCCCGCAGGAGAGCAGCAGGGCCGGGCCGCAGGACCGCGCGGCCGGGGGAGGGGGAGGTGGCGGGGCGGCAGG